TTTTTTCTAATTTTGAAAGTTATACAACTAATTCCAAAAGATCTAAAAATTTCTATCATCTTTAATTGAATTACTTGGCATATGATAGGCAATCTGCTCTACCATAACCATTTGGTCAAAGCTGTCTTTGGATTACAATGTAACCCTTTTGGGGACACTTAAAAATGATAATTAGGTGTCCAAATTTAAGGTTCTGTCACAACTACAAGGCATTTAACTGAGGCAAGTAACTGGGTGAATAGTTATCTTCTCTGATGACTAAGTTCACTCATATAGACATTAAGAACTATTAATATATCACACCCCACTACCTTGTGTAAAATTGACAAATTTCTTTTGACACTAATTATAAGATGCATCATGAATTCAGAAATATTGAAGTGTGGAGGTAATAATGTCCATTTTATGATTGAATCATATGCTAAATACTGCATGCATCTTATTTGATACTGCATCTCATTTAAAATTCACAACTTTATAAAATTGCTATTAATAATATTCCTATTTTGTGGATGAGAAAACTCAGGCTCAGGGAGGGTAAGTAACTTTTATAAGATAACATGGTGGGTAAACAGCAGAGTCAACATTCAAACATAGATCTTCTATTTATTTTATTACCACATATGCAATTTCTTTTCCCAGTGTAGGCTTTCCCTAACATGAGTTCTATAATTCAGATTCCACACTCTCATTCCCTATGAAAGTAGTGTAGACACCCAGATTTTTTCAAAGATAGGGAAAATCTTGGAAAAAATCTGGGTTGTCTACACTACTCTGAGCTAAAAAAATTCCTAAAGTACCAACTAGAGCTCTAAAACTATGTTAAACATGTTGAAGAACAGAAAAAAAGTCTCATAGAAGCCTATGAACTTTCAAGAAATGTGCAATCTTAAATCATTTACAAATGTGAATGAACAAAAATACAAATCATCATTAAAGTACTAAATGGTACAGGGCTGTCCTTCAGAAGCTCAGAGAAAAAAATGACCTTTAGCAAGAATAATCACTGAAGTCTATAAAAAAATTGTTGTTTCAAACAATTTTTCAGTAATTTGTAGCCAGTTACAACATTAATGACCTTGTTAATGAGGACAACTGACACTAATAGTAAGAAACCAAGAGTTCTCTTGCAAGGAAAGGGTCAAGTCTATTGAACTAAAGTTGTCACAGGTTGTCTTCCTTGGCAAATTTGTAAGGATCCAACACTTGGGAGGGAGTGAGGAAGTAGGATTAGGTAGAGAGGGGAACTGTCATATTCTCTCAACAAAGAACTCAGCTCATGGTACAGGGAGCTCTGGGGCTGGAATGACTTTATGGAGTTGTCCTGAATTTGGGGCAAGTGGAACTTCATATGCACAAGTCCTAACCCCTACTACGTCAGAATGTGATCATATTTTAAAATAGGGCCTTTAAAGAGGAAATTAAGTTAAAATGAAGTTATTTTAAGCACAGTGTCCTTACAAGAAGAGGAAATTTGGACACACATCTGTGCAGAGGGACTTGCACAGATGGAAGACCACATGAAGACACGGGGAGAAGAATGTCATCTACAAGCCAAGGAGAGAGGGCTGGAATGTATCTTTCCCTTAGTGCCCAAAACAGGAACCAACCCTGCCTATACCTTGATCTCAGACTTCAAGCCTTCAGCACCGAGAGAAGATACATTTTTCATTTAAGCCATCTATGTACTTTGGTGTGGCAGCCCTAGCAAACTAATACAGATCCCTCATCAACTTCAGATTATGCTAAATAAAATCTACATGTGAGGGTAGTGTAATCAACAGTGATATATTTCTTTAAGTATTTTCCCCCAGACAAATTCCAACTAGACAATAATGTCTAATACACTGTCTGGTGAATCGGAAAATCTCCTGAATGAAATAGGAGCCTCTAATACTCAAAAGGGATGAAATGAGTCATCACCACAGGCTGTGAATGAAAGCAACTGCTCTGAGAAAACACATGTAAAAAATGACACCATGTGGATTAAATAGGGAAACACAAGTATATCCAGATAAATTGGGTGTTTCCGCTGTACCCATTACAGCTATTCTATAAATGCCAGATTATAAATCTTGGTTCTTGCCTTTCTCTCAATCCATCTCAGCTATAGTTTATCATCAAATATTATTTCCTTCTTTCTTATGACTTTATATGGTACTCCAGTTGGACCATAAAAATAAAAATCTTGAAACTACTATTCTTTAGTTCGAAGAAAAGATTTGGCCCAACTAAGGTTCTGTTATTTCAAGTAATATTTGATCACAAATTGTATCAAAATATCAGCTGATCCAATTTCATGCCCTCTTATCAACTCATTCTGCTACCAAAGTTAGTTTCTAGAATGTAGATCTGATTGGTCCCTTTCTGTGTTTAAAGACTACAATTAGCTGGCCACCAACTATTGACTGAAGCCCAAAGTCCTGAATCTGGAAGAACCTTTGCAGCCTAGAATCAGTTCTCCATTTTCAGACTGTAGTCATCCTCCGCCCCACCACCATATACCCTGCTTGCTAATACATGGCTATGCTTCATTCTTCAGACACTGTTCTGTAGCACTGTATGCGTGCCGATATCATTCTATATTATGTTTATGATAGGTAATATGTCTGACCTTATGACCAGATTATAGTCACCTTAGAGTCTAAGGCCTGGTCATTCACTTTCTTCAGTATCGCCAGTGGCAGTGGCACAGGAGTAGTAACATTCAATCATTTTTCACCTTCTCAGAGAGGCCTTTACTGAATTCCATAGCTAGGATAGTAATTCTCTCTCCCACCCCAGTCCTGCTTTATTTTTCTTCTTAGCACTTATCAGCATCAGACATATGACATATATTTTCAGGGTCACATATTTTATAATCTCTCTTTTCCCACTTGAAAGTAAATTCCAAAAAGTCGGGACTTTGGCCTATTCACTGCTCTATCCTCAGTGCCTAGATATGTGGCATACCAGAGACACTCAATAAATATTTGCTGAATAAATGAATTCATTCAGCAAATATTTATTGGCAGTTTACTATGCGCCATGAAATATTATGAAAACCAGCAATCCAGCAGTGAACCAACAAAGGCCTTTCTTTCGTGGAACTCACAACTCTCTGGAAGGAGGCAACAAACAAGAAAACAAAAATTTCATTTTATGTAACTTCAGATAGTGCTAGTAGACACTCAATTACTATTTCTGTAACTGAATAGACTTACACTGATTTCAGGATTCACAAATATTCTGTGAGAAACTTAATTTAAATTTTTTCAGGTATTACCAAAACTAATATATGAATTAATTTATTTTTGGAAATACTAAAGTCAATTCAAGAATAAACTATGTAAAAGACAGTATCATAACATAATACTCTTTTAGTAATAAAAATAATGTATTTTAAAGATAGACTTTTCAAATGTGTTACATAAAACAAGACAAAATAAAGTTTCATTAGAAGCATAACATAGGGGCACTTTTATGAAGCATATGACATCATAAACATTAGCTAGAAAGCAGCTTTCATTAATTCTTTTAATATGACACATATAAAGGGAAAAAACTGGGGAGATTTTGATATGTAAAATATATAAGCACTGCTTAATAAGAATGATGGTTGGTTTATACACTACTTGGAAATCCATTAATGCAAGTGATGTTAAGGATTTGCAGACATCTTACTATCTTAAAAAAAATCCAAGCTTTGCCACAGCACTATTTGGTACCTGACATGTCAAGCCCTGTTATTTGTTGTCATTCTGAATTGGAAATCTAGTGTTTTATGTGGCCAGAGACATTTAGTGGTATTTTAGGATTTAAAAAAATGTTGAGCCATAGCTATTATAGAAAAAATTCTCTAACATGCTTATTAACTTGAAGGATTCCACTTCTGATTAGCCTGGTCCAGAGGTAAAGGAGTATGAAGGGCCACCTAAAAAGCATAGTATTTGGGAATACGGATTGGTGACTCATATTCGGACTTCATTAATAAGAGAGGTTGGGTTCCCTAGGGAGAAAGGACTGTTATTAAAAACTACTAGAGGCTAGAGACTCAGAGAATCTCTTTAATAAAATATGAAAGGTAAGGAAATATAACTAACTCGAAAATCAAAATGTAATGTGGCATAAACACTTACCTCTGATCATGTATAACTAAAATATATGGCATCTGTAAAGACCATATTTCCAAAATGTTTTATAAGTTTCATAGAATAATGTTGAATTGATATTATTATTTTTAGCATACTAAAGTCTAAGCTGGTTAATGCCAAATTCCAAGATTTTTATATTTTAATTTTATTCCTAAAGAAAAGGAGAAAGAAGAAATTGTTAAAACCCCAATAATTAAAATTTGGCAGAAAATATTATTTCTACTACTTACTTCAAATTGCATTCACAAAAAGAAAATCACAGAAGCAGGAAAACAATTTTTAAAAGTAGTTCAAGGCAATTAATCATTCGAAATACAGCTACTTCAAGGAAAGTCAGGTCATACCAAAATCTATCTTGGCTCATGAGAAAACAAACCCTTATTGTTTGCAAATGTCTTGAGAGATCTATTTATTTTTCTATGAGAGTACAAATAATAAATAAATATTTTTAAATGAAAGTGAGTATAAGTTTGTATTTAGTATTTAGGATACCACCATGATGTAACTATCAGTTATTCCTCCCTGATTCATTTCTGTTGAGACAAATCAAAACTTCTCAAAGATCTCAAAGTTTCACATGGAAGCTAGAAGATCAAACTCAGGACTGTACCTATAAAGAAGAGTCACCTTGCATGAGAAGGTAAAATCCATGGTTAATCTACCAGTCTTTAACATGTAGTTACCTTCCATTATTTATTAATATTATTCCCACCAAAAGAGAACTCTGATCCAGTTACTCAGTGTGCCATACTAGCTTAGCAACATTCAACACTTCCCTTCCCCACTACAAGCACTATAGAGGTCCAAAGATTCTCACTCCTTCCAACATCCTTAACCAAAAGACATATTCAGAAATAGGAAATAACAAAAGTTTCATACTCTTTCTTTTTTATTGAGACCTCTGAAGACCTCCCACCCACTCTCACAAACACTCATACTCCCATGACTAGAATTACAGTTGTTATTTCAAGGGGAAGAAATGATTCAGGGCAGGAAACGAGAATCTGTTAGATGGGAAGAGCAGTCTTCTCATCCCAATATTTGAGACATTCCTCTTTCATTTTCCTATGACTCATGCTTCTTTCTTTCTGGTATCCTGTTGGAGGAGAAGGAGGAGGTAGGCAAACCTAGTGTTTGGACAAAAAAAAAATCCTAATACAAAAAGCAATAGAAAAATTACAAGAAATGTATGGAGAAAACAAGAGCCATTGGTCTAAAAATCCACATTTAGTACAAACTGACACTGGATGACTGGGTGGCTTCAGGTAGTCTCAGTTAGTAGAATTCACATTTGTACTGTAAAAAGGAAAGATCTAGAAAATCTGATTTAAACTTACTAAACAATAAACTTCAAAAATAAAAGAAAATTTGTCTGTTTCTAAGATAGGGTTCTGGAAAATGATAATGTCCTAACATTCATTTGTAATGGAAAAACAACAACTAACTAGACTAGTAAATATGTGCTGACCAGACAAAAAACTCTCATGAATGGCTTGTAACAGACATGGAAAGTTATGGTTGAGAAAACTTTTTCAAAAAGAATATAGCAGGGAACAGAGAATGAAATTTAATTTGGGAAGAGTAAAATTTGCCATTTGGAGATCACTGACTCATTCAAAAGATAGTTAATGAGTTCCTACTATGTACCAGTCACAAACTAGGTCTTGGTTTTATGGTGGTGGGGAAAAATGTCATGATCTTTACTCTTTGGCATTAATTTTGAATACTGGAGAATAAATTTTGATGAGTACCCTGAGGGGGTGTGGTGTATTAGTCCATTTTCACACTGCTAATAAAGACATACCCAAGATTGGGCAATTTATGAAAGAAAGAGGTTTAATTGGACTTACAGTTCCATGTGGCTGGGGAAGCCTCACAATTATGGTGGAAGGCAAGGAGGAGTAAGTCATGTCTTACTCCTTACATGGATGGCATCAGGCGAAGCAAGAGCTTGTGCAGGAAAACTCACATTTTTAAAACCATCAGATCTCATGAGACTTATTTACTGTCACAAGAGAACAGCACTGGAAAGACCTGCCTTCATGATCCAATTATCTCCCACTGGGTTTCTCCCACAATATGTAGGAATTATGGGAGCTACAAGATGAGATTTGGGTGGGGACACAAAGCCAAACCATATCAGGAGGGTATAGGAGAGGCCTACTTTCAACTGGATTATAAGGAAGTCCTCTATGAGACTATGTTATAAACTGAAGCCTACAGGAGACAAAGAGAAAGTGAGAAGAGAGTTTTAAGCCAAAAAAAAAAAAAAAGAAAAGAAAAGAAAGACCTTTAAAAAACTAAAATAGGTATGGCTAAATAGTGTAAAAGAAAGAGAAATTTTTTAGGAATTTGGAGAAGCAGGCTATGATAACATCATGTATTGTCTTGTGCATTACAGGAAAGCATTTAAAATCCTAAAAGAGGTTTTAAAAAGTCAGAGAGTTAAGGTTTTACAAAGATATCTTCAGATGCTGAACGGAGGAACAACTGAAGGAAGGACAAGAGTGGAAACAGAGAGGATAGATAAAGAAAAGATACAATAAGATTGTAGCTTAGCCTAGTAAGGTGACAGGAAGTTGGAGAGAAGTGAATTGATTCAAAATATATTTTGGAAGTTGAACAGATGACATTTTGTGACAGACTAAATGTTAATGATGAAATAAAGGGATATATCAAGAACCACTCATAGGCTTCGGCAAGAATATATAAATTGGTGGGAATTCTATTCACTGATGACAGAAAGGTGCAAGGAACAGCAGATTTAAATGGTAAACAGAATATTCAATATTAAAGATGTAAAGTTTGAGATACCTGGAAGTAATTTTAGGTGGAATGTTAAGTAAGCATTTGTTTGTTAGGTCTAGAGTTCTAAAGGGAGGAATGTGTTGAAGAGATTAAGCTAGAGATTCTTTGGCATACAATTAGTAGTTAAATCCTTAGGAATGGTTGACATAACCAAGGTTAATACTCTGCTGGTATGCATCAGTACACCCAAAATGGTCCTTTACCTTTCTATATCCAGTTAGTAAATAGATCAGAGACTCTAAAGATGGGTTTGAGAGCAGATTAGATATATTTGAGGAAATTGTTAGTGAAATAGAAAATAAGTCAGAAGAAAATATCTAGAATGAAAAAACAGAAAGACAAAAGAAAGGAAACATAAAAATAGGATAGGAGATTCAGAGGATATAGTGAGTAGGTCTGACATAAGTTTAATTGGAGCCCTAAACAGAAAAAAGAAAATTGGGAGAGTATTACCTGAAAAGATAATGACTGAGGAATTTCTGAGACTGATGGAAGACATCAATCCACAGGTTGAAAAAAGAGCTCCAAACCTCAACTCAGATTAAAAAGACACACAATTAAACATCATAGAACAACTGCAGAAAATAAAAGACAAATAGGAACTATTAAAATCAATCTGAGAAAAAAAAAGACAGATTATCTTTAGGATTTAAAATCAGACTGACAGCTTGCTTCTCAAAAGAAAGAATGGAACTAAAAGTTAATGGAAGGATATTGTACACATGCTTAACAAAAATAATTGGCAAGCTAGAAACCTTAACTCCCCCAAAGTAACTATTGAGTATAAAGGTAAAATAAAATTATCTTCAGACAAAATCTAAAAGAAATATAAACCAAGCTAAAGGAAATACTAAAGAATATTCTTCAGGAAAAAGGCTAATGATTTAGATGAAAGATTAGAAATGTAGAAAAACGAAAAACCACAAAAACGATAATATGTGGATAGATGTAGGTGAACACTGACAGTATAAATATAGAAAGAATTAAAATGCACAAAAATAACAGCACGTAACTTGGCAGGTCAGTAAATATTGTTTGCTCATTCTAAGACATTGCATGGTCTGAGAAGAGAGTAAAGATATTAATTAATATTAAATAGAATAAGTAAGGGATTCAGGCTATAAGCTCTAGGGTAACCACTAAAAGCTACAAAAAATAAATGACAAATAGAAAATCTTTTTTTTTCTTTTTTTTTTAAGGAGATGAAGTCTTGCTACATTGCCCAGGCTGGTCTTGAACTCCTGGGCTCAAGCAATTCTCCTGCCTCAGCCTCCCAAATTGCTGGGATTACAGGCATGAGCCACTGTGGCCCACAAATAGGAAAGCTTAAAACCAGCCAGAGGAAAAAAGGCAGATTACCTTTAAATGATTAAAAATCAGATTGACAGCTTGCTCAGTAAAGAAATATAAATAGTAAAAGAATACAAAATGCCTGGACCAATTGAGGAAAAAATATAATAACTCACAAAAGTAAGTCAAGCATAGAACATAGAACAAGTGCAACAAATAGAAAATACATGATAACATGTATTAATAACATGACATAAATACAACTATAGAAATAAACATAACACATATGAATTAACTAAATGCTCCAATTAAAATAATGATTTTCAGTTATATTGGAAAATAAATTATAGACAGTTTGCAAAAGACATGGCCAAATCATAAGAAAGCATATAGAAAAATTGAAAGAAAGAATCAAAATAATTTTTCCACACCAACATTAAGCAAAATAAAAGTGATATAACTAAATTAACATCAAATTACACTAGAATTGAACTAGAGAGTCAGGGGTTACAGTGAGCCGAGATCATGCCACTGCACTCCAGGCTGACAACAGAGTGAGACTTCGTCTCAAAAAAAAAAAAGAAGAAAAACTGAATTTTAATAGGCAAGTATCTATATTAAAATATTAGAAAAAAGTGTGAAATGAATCTAAGAACAGTATAAGAAAAAGTTTAACAAATGTAAGGGGGAATTAATATCATAAAAATAACTATGCAAACACAGATCAATAAAGCCAAAAGTTTATGTGCTGCTTATTCTGTTTGATCCCAAGATCCATTCTCTGCCTGTCTCAACCTCAGGAGGCTGACCACTGTATTCTGCAAACAGCCTTCTGATAGAGTTCGGACAAAGCGAGACACTGATAAGAGACAGAATTGTAGGAGGAAAACAAGAAATCAGCGCAATCATTCCTTTGTTTCCTCTCTGCCTCAATGCTATGCTGTGGCAGGAGCTATGTCCCTCTACAAGCACACCTCTTATCATAAGATCCATTCATTCCTATTAATTCTATACTCACAGGCTGCTTTCTCATGAATATATCAAGCCCAGTAATGGCAAAGGCTTCTTATTGTTAGTTATCTGAGAGCTTCAAAATCCTTTGTTGGGTTCCCTAACAACATACTTTTAGATATTTCCTTCATTAAATTCTCTACAAAATCAAAGCTGTGTATACCTTTTATTTTCCTTCCAGGACATTTGTTTCCTTTAAAGACTAATAGGATTAATAGCTCCCTGAGGAGATTCATCAAGAAACAAAAATAGAAGACACAAATAATCAACATTAGGAATAAAAATGGGTATATCACTACAGATCTTGAAGTCATTGAAAAAATACAGTAAGAATATTCAGAACAACTATTGCCAATAACTGAAAATTTAGATGCAACAGATAAAATTCTGTAAACAAACTCTTATCAAACTAAAGTAAGAAAATACATATAGCCATATGTTAAAGAAATTGAATTCATAAATAAAATATTCCTCTTCCTGTCTCCCTCAAGTAAGTTCCAAGCCTTACTGCCTTAGCAGCAGATTCTACCAAACAATTAAGGAAGTCTTGATAATGTCAGTCTTACACAAAATATTATAGGAATTTTTAAAATTAGAGAACATTTAAACAATTTCATTTAATAAACCTAGCATAATATAATTCATAAAATTGCTAACAAATCCATCAAGGATATGCTAAGAAAAGAAAATTATAGACCACTCTAAGTCAGAAACATACATGCAAAAATCCTAATACAATTTTAGCAAAGAAAATTCAACAATTTATAAATAGAATGATGATTATGTTTAAACTGAGTTTATTTTAGGCATGCAAAATTGACAATGTTTGAAAAATAATTTTATGTAATTCCAATTACAGAATAAAATATTATGGGTAATCTTTTATTCTGTAATAGGAATTACATAGAAACATTTTTCATAAAAATAAAAGATTACAGATAATCTTGCATTCTGTAATGGGCATTACATAGACTTATTTTTCTTTTC